CCGTGTCTCTCTACCGTTAGGAGCATAAATGGGGTGGAAAACCGTTTTGTATAAGAGTCGCGCTTAACCGCAATAATGGGTTCGGACGAGACAAGTGTACGTGGAGGCACTCATTGTTAAAGTTGGCAACTGAAATATGAGTTGCGTTGCTGAAAGAACTTCAAACTGTCAGCGACAGCAAGAACAACGATACAAAATGTTTTCAAACAACAACAGCAACAGAAGCAATATCATCAGCAACAATAGCACTAACAATTGCACCAAAAACAATTACCGGCATAGAAAGTCAAGTGAAGGGAACTGGAGTGAAGTGAAGTGAATGGCATTAACCATGCAAAGACCAAAAATGGTTTGAACAAATTTTCACTTCTCGTAGAATTGAAAAAAAAAACACATTTAAATTACTTTCAATTTAGTTGGCTCAACTGTGTGGAGCTGCGCTTAAGTCCATTGTAATTAGCATTTAAGTGTTAATAGACTTAACTACTCACAGACACAAAATATACATAATAAAAAGTATTCTACTTTGCTGAAGCAGTAAGTCAATGGGGCAATTGTACGTGCATTGAACCCCGGTTTATATTGTATGAGGCTGTATTGTTTTTATTGCTGTCAATCTCATTTTGGAATAATGAGTTTTTTCTTTTACTTTTATTGTGGCAAAACTGTGTCATATAAAATCATTTAAGTGTGGGAAATGAGTAATTTGCCTTATTTTAATAATAATTAAATAAATAATTCCTTAATGCTCATTACACACAGAGATTATATATAATTGCTATCTATGAAACGTTCGCTCATTACGTACAACGTAGTGCAATACCGAAAATAATTGCAGAATTGGTAAAAACTCATTAAGATTTCAATTACCGCTCCAGATTATGTACAAAAACGCCGATGACTCTTGAAAGTAATACTGCAGTTTTACTTTTTAATTTATTAAGTCAAAAGCCAGTAAGCCATTAGCACATCAAGCCAAGCTATTAAGTTGTTCAGAAAAGTATTAGTGATAGCTAGTAATCCATTTAAAGCGATTTGCTCAATTTTATTGAAATGTCTTAAAAGGAGAATGCTGCAGTAAGTGGAGCAAAACAATTAAATAGTAATTTTTTCTGGTTATTAATAAGAAGTAGTCAATTACTAAAGAAGTCATTTTTAACCATTAAGCATTTAGAAAGCCTCCTTGTTAAACATTTAATTTCCACAAAATGACCGTGGAGAGTGTACAGCACTTGGGGCAAATCTTCGAGTTCTTGAACTTTGCATGCAGGTCTTCAACTCTTAGCAATAAATATTTCAGAGCAAACCTCTTATAACCCTTTACTCACGTAGTAGGAAAAAGGCTTTATTAACACTGTCAAGATGTTCGCGAAGTAGTGCAGCAGATATCAGAAAACCTATAAAATATGGAAAGTGTTTTTAGTGAAAAAAAGAAATAAATAGAATAATTTTTACTTTGTTGGAAACACTTTTCCTAATAAAATTCTCCCTAATAATAAAATTAATAAAAATAATAAAATAAATAGTAATAATAAAATTAATAATAATAATACAATTAATAATAATAATAATAAAATTAATAATTTTAATAGTAATAAAAATAATTTTTTTTTCGAGGCTGGGGAATAAAAATTGCTTACACATATCTTCAGAAACATCTTTCTGTGGTTTATGCGAGGTTTACGTAAATCGTTGACCCACTAAAAATCCCCCCTTTCCAGGATGAAGTACATCATCCGGAACCGCCACTAGATATTGCTTCAGATCATGCACATCCTGATTATAAGATTAAATCGTACGACGCTGCTCTTGGTCCTGCATCTAGGTGCCTCTTTTGTACACGGTGTATTTCCTCCACGTGCTTTACCACCACGAACTAGTTGTTCTCACTTGCCAGAAGTAAAGGAACTATGTTTCCCGGGGTCCACATACCACTAATCTATATCTCCAGGTTCTCTCCGTCTTTTGCTCCAAATAGTGTTATATGAACAAATATACAGAATTTTTAAACCCAGTAAGATAAAAATTTATGACATATTAAATTATATTCAAACAATAAACGATATAAATTCCTGCATAGTTAAAGCAGGGGGGAGAGGGATAAAAGGGATAAAAATGGATAAAAATTTGTGAATAATGGAAGATTTTTAGAAAAATTATTTTGATATATTAAATGTTTCATAATTTGAAGATTATCTTTGAGTAGAATATTTTTAAATACCTGTTTATCGATTATATGCTCCAAATAATGTTAAAGGAACAAATATTAAGTGTTATTACGATAAAAGATAAAAAGATTTATTTTATATCAAGTTTAAGAGTATATAAATAATGAAAAATTTGTGACTAATGTAGGATTTTTGAATAAAGTTATATTCAATTTTTCATGGTTTAAAAATCTTCTTGGGGAAAAAAATTTTTAGCAACCTTTATGTCAATTAATATTTATAATAAACCAAGAAATCAGTTCATTGGTACAATTTTGACGGATAATGTTGTATAATGATTGCGATAATTAGATAAGATTAATTGATTTAACTGTTTTTTTAATATTATGTATATATCAATACAACCATTGATATACCATCGTTTTTTAGCTATATAAATAAAATGCAAAACAAACATTTTTCACACGACCTATAAATATATGTCATAACTGCCTTATAATTTAAGCAGTCGATATTAATGTTTTCCTATTACTTCTTACAAAGTTTTATTATATTGGTTTTACAAGTTTTGTTGTTAAAAAAAATTTACCTTTGTAATACCATATTTTTATTTTTTTTTAGTTTTACTAAAACGGTTACATCCAAAATAAATATTGTAAATAAAATTTGGTTTATAATTTTATTCAATCAGAATCCTCTTCATCAATCTCTTTGAAAATGGTCCGTATACATTGTTTAAATCTCTTATGTGCGTACGAAGAATGAAACTCAATTCCCAACATATCCCGCAATCCAAATGTATTATTCACATAATTTAATGCACTCCAAACAATACGTTTATCATTTGTGTCGATGTTTTTGAAAATGACGCCTTGATCTATTCTATGATTTACAACGATTACCATCGTATTAGGATTACGCATTATTAATTTTCTCATTTTATTGCATGGATCTTCAACTATTTTAAGAATACCCTTACCTGGAACAAACATAAAAGAATTATATTATTCACAATATCATAATTTTTTATCAAAAATTACAAATAGTTTTCCATTTCTTAAAACGTCGGTCCATCTTAAATAGTGTAACAAACCCATAAAAGATTTCACTATAATTTGCACACGCTTTTGAAGTACTGTTTCGGCGTAATGAATTGGTGCCCGATCGGTTGCGAATTGTAATAGGTTCAGGTCCAGGTCCGTCACCATCACCTGTGCTACTTATATGGAGCGGGGAAGTTTCTGACGCTGTAAGGACATTTCGTGTTCCGTCAGAGTGAGGCATTTCTTGTAGATGATTATATTTTGATTGTTTTGTATAAATTGAGCATGTTGGCTTTTCTTCCGAAATATCTATCCCATCAACAGATTTCTCTACAATGATAGTATATTTATTATCCGCGGAAAATTATTTCTAGATTCATTAAAAATATGTTTTAGCTTTAGTTGACTCAACTAATTTATGTGATTTTTTTAATACCTGATAATCCGGATTGTATTTGTGTTTTCCTTACAGCAACTATTTTGTCAAGCTCAGGAAAATTGTTATCCATTAGTCCTAGGGTTTCAATTGGGATTTTGTTTTGCACAGCGGAAGAAACAACTCCTGTGATATCTTTATAAGTTTGTTGTGAACATTGTATATTACAATCTTGATCAGTACAGCTCGACGGTGTATTTGCATAGCTCGTTGGTGCTATTGAATACTCTGGTATAGTACCTAGTTTAGATATCTCCAGGTTCCCGTTATTGTAGTTTTGACATGTTCTACCTGATGTATCTTCTTCTATAACGTTAGTATTTATATTTAATTGACTGTACGCTCTTGTCAGTTCATCCATTTTAAACTTACACTTTTTGATTTTATTGCTTAAATTTTTATTATTAGTTGTTTGCTTAGGAGGTATACGGCAGTTTATGTATAATTACTTTTTAAATTTCATTGTTAATTTATTCTCTTAACAAATTAAACGTTAACTTTAGCAAAATATGTTAAGTTAGACAATTTTATAAAATATGATAGAGTTGATTTGAATAAAAAAATTAAATTTGTGAAATGTAAATTAAAAATAAATTACTTCTTAACTAAGTTTGATGTGTATAGTTAAACAAATAAACATGAAATTGCACCACAATAAGTGATTATAGAAGGGTCATAATTTATTGTTTTCCATTTTTTCTGTTACGGCTTAAGATACTTCCCGAACATAATACTATAGATGATACTATTAGATGAACAAAAGTTGTTCTCCAATCAGTTTATCTTTGACTTACGCGTAGAAATCATTGGTTATCCTAATTTAGGACTGTACAGTGGATTGTCTGTTAGTTGATTGCCTTGAGCAAAGTCAATTAAATGAGCGGATGTATAATTACTTCCATTGTTGTGGTGTTGAAGTATCCATCTTTGGCAAGCGAACTTTCTCATTCTTCTGAGCACTACTGGCAAACAAATGGTGGTATACCATTTAGAATTGAATATTTAACCTTATTTTATTAGCACTGTTACCACTTAATAAGTTTTTCTGAAAACAACATGCGTTGTTTATACATTTTATATATTTATAGATTCGTTTATACATTATAGAACATACGATCATTTGTTTTAAAAATGTTCAAAGAAAGTATAACATAATAAACTGACAATATAATCTGTGCGTAGAGCGCTAGGAGTTGAGCGGAGGGACTGTAGCCAATGCGTGTAAGCGACTGTACCCAGTACGTGTGAAGGACTGTTTAGGGACGTATGAATGATAATAATAATTTATGGGCGTCATGGAATGAATTCGTTGACAATTTATTTATCGGTTGACAGAGTTAATTGATTGTAATTAGTTGACTACTATAATAATTTTAAAAATCAACTTATTTTAGGTTATAAAAGTGACTGGGTTTATATTATAGAACTAGGCGCCTAATGGGACTATATACAGATTTTAGTCATCGATTAAATAATCCATCATTTTTTTGTAAAACGTCAAACATTTTATAAATTTTTTACAAATGTTTCAAAATATTTTTGCACATGTTTAACTAATTTTTTTTAAATAAAATATTATTTTTGAGACCCAGGATGAAAAAAAATTAAAGATCTCTTCCTCTCACAACATTTGAATGCTTTTAATAATTTTATTAACTTTTTTTATTATTAATTGATTAATTAAATTTGATTTTAACGTCAATATTTGGCAATACTCGAAACAGCTATATGGTTAGCCAAAATTTAATTAAAATAATATATAAAATAATTTTTGTTGTTGTAGTTTGCTACTATTCGAAACCGCTATATTAATTTTTAATAGGAGTAGTAACTAATAGAAATATTCGAAGAATTACAGATAATTGATTGAATTTGTTTGTTCATAACTGTTTTATGGGTGAAACATATACATATGTTCTAATATAATGAAAACTATATTAGGTACGAGTATAAAAAAAAATGGATTATAACTTCTGATAGTAAAACTATTTTCGATGATATTAATTAGTGGATGCACATACTTTAAAATCATATTTCTAAGGTTGCACATCTCTGTTGTATCTAAGTACTATCAAGTAGGGAATGATTTTTCAATAATATATTTTTATTATTATGTTGAGGCTAGTTGAGTCAGTGCACTTGAGCGTTTTTACTCTCTATTAACTGCGAGGTTTCTTCGTAACCCCTTTCTACGCCTTGACTGGATTATTGTTTACCACTTCATCAGACTAAGCAATAATTGACCTCAGATCTGCACACCTCCCCGAGGAGGCTGTAACCATTCTGAGATTCGATAACGCGGTGTTGGTAAGCCAGTCAGTATTATTTGATCGGATCAATCGTCCTATTGTACCATGGTACCTTGAAAAGTCTTCTCAGAGCCTGGCTTTGTGTAATTTCTAACTGTCAATAATATATTATTTGTTTTTTTTTCTCAATTATTGAATAATAATTCTTTTTTACTTTAAAGAAAAACTAAAACAGTACCACATGATTTTTACTTAACTATTACTTAGTTTAATATATTTTTTTTATACCTATTTATTTTTTCTATAGTTTAATATAGCTTTTTTTTGCCTACTTTAGGTAAAATGCGGTAGCTAAGCCAACTATATTGTGATAAAATCCAGACTATTCTGGAACAAAATCGGATTCATTTGTTAATGTCAAGCGATAATGCTATAGAGCAGTTAGATATAATTGCAGGACAAACACAAATAAAATGTAAAAAGCACTTAAAGCCAACATTTAAGAAACAAAAAATGGCAATTTAAAGCAAAAAATAATACCAAAATCAAAATCAAAAACATAACAACGAATAATCGAAATACAAAGAAATCTCGAATAAAAATAAATGACAAATAAATTTGGGAGTGCAGAAAATCGAATAAAAGAAGCAAATACTTAATCGAAATTCAGGCGATTGCCAACAAAAGTCACACAAAGGTATGGTTTTATGTTAAGTCCCAAGACAAAAGTAAAAACAGCAACTGAAGTATTCTTCTGCAGTATCAACAGCAACAGCAACAGCAAAAGAAACAGCATAATCAACAACAGCAACAACAGAAAGAGCCGTAATAGAGCAGCAACACGATGTCGCTTAAATTGTTTCGACGCGGTTCAGCGCGCTGCCTTGGTTTACTGTCAGCATTTGTCACAATATTGTTATGTCTTTACTACATTTCCATGGGACAGCCAACCTTACAACCGAAAGACACAACAGCGACTATAACAATAATTGGTGGCAGTGGAAGTACCAGCAGCAACGCTGGCAATGCTAATGGTGCCTTGTTACATTTGCCACTGCAACATTTTAATAAAAATAGTCCGCATAAAATTAAAATTAATGATCAGGAAACATTAGAGAAACATAAATATGTCATATTACAACAAAAACAACAGCAACAATTGTCCAGTGCTGTTGGGTCAATAGCAGTGAGTAATGATGATGAGACTGGCATGGTGGTCGATAATCCAAACTGGGACGGTAAATGTTATATTTTAAATGAGAGCGTAACGAACATAACCGCTGGTGATGAATATCCAAAATTTGATTTTCAGGTATTTATTTATTGTTTTTTATTTTTTATTTTTGGTCTTTTTAATTGTATTTTAATTTTTTAACAGCCGGAATGGATACGCACGAAAGAGTATTGGGATCGTGGCTTTGAGGAACGTTTCGAAGCACAAAAAAGTGATAAGGAGCGACCATCTTTAAAGGTAATTACTAGGTTATAAACTTAAAAACTTGGAAATTTGTGATTCATTAAATATACCTTACAGATAATTGTGGTACCTCACTCTCACAATGATCCCGGCTGGTTAAAGACATTTGTTAACTACTTTCAAGCTGATTCACGTCAAATACTCAATTTGATGGTCACCAAAATGCAGGAGTACAAGGAAATGACCTTTATTTGGTCTGAAATAAGTTTTCTACAATTGTGGTGGGATCAAGCGCATCCCACTAAACAACGTGCGCTTAAACGTCTTATTAACTCAGGACGTTTAGAAATCACTACCGGTGGTTGGGTTATGACTGATGAAGCTAATGTACACATATATGCTATGTTGGATCAATTAATCGAAGGTCATCAATGGTTACGCAATAATTTGAATGTGACGCCCACTGTCGGTTGGTCTATTGATCCATTCGGACATGGTAGCACAGTGCCTTACTTATTGTCTGGTAGTAATTTCGAGGGTGCAATTATACAACGTATACACTATGCTTGGAAGCAATGGTTTGCTAGACAACAAAATGGTGATTTTATATGGACTCCGTATTGGGAGAAACAAGGCGGCACTCAATCAAACAAACAAGGTCAACTACTAATGCATAATATGCCTTTTGATATATATTCGATAAAAGGTTCTTGTGGACCACATCCCTATATATGTTTAAATTTCGATTTTCGTAAAATACCTGGAGAATATACAGAATATTCTGTGAAAGCAGAATTTATTACTGATGAAAATATTGAGAAAAAGGCACAACTATTACTGGAGCAGTATGCGCGCACCGCGTCATTATTTCCACATAATGTGGCTCTAATACCTGTTGGAGACGATTTTCGTTATAATAAAGAACGAGAAGTTGATCAGCAATATATCAATTATAAAAAACTTATTGATCATATTATGGACAATAAGCGGTTATATAATGTAGATATATCTTTCGGTAAGTTAAGAGAAATACATTTTGGAATTGTAATATTCTGCTTAAAAAAAAGCTTTTTAAACAGTTTAAAGAAAACCTTTAAATATATTTTTTTAAATCAACCTGTACTTTACGGACCAATTAGTATATTGTGACCGACTAGATACAAAATGTTGCCACAAACGCATATAATTATTTCTCTAAACACAATCCATTGCTAACTAATTATATGAGTAGTTCGTTTTACTATTTTCACAAATGTAGTATTCGCATATTTTTTTCCATCTGTTATGATCAGCCTATTTCCTATATGCTTATCTTAAATTTTAAATAATTGTTATTATATTTATTTACTTCGTCTCCTAATATAGACTATCATTTGTCATTTTTTTTTTATTCCCATAACGACTGTTTGTATCTCCAATTTATTAGAATGATACGTTTTTAGAAAGATAAATATGCTAATTTCAATTTCAGCACCCATTACAGCGTCTTATATGTATATACATTTTTATCTGTTCATCACAACTTTAGCTTATATTGTTCCCTTTATATAACTATAATCTATTAACTGTGTTATTTTTCTCTTTTTAATGTAAAAAAAGAGATACTACTTCTAGGTAGTATCTAAGCTTTTAATAAATATAAGTCTTCTTAGATTACTAAAATGTCGGTCAGCAAAAATGCTAGAGATTTATTTGTTTATTATTTATTTATTTATTTATTTGAGTTAACACTAAAATACTTCGTAAAGTGCTTCGTCCTGAAATTTTAGCAGCAGTACTTTTTAATAAATATTTTTTACAAATTTTATTTGGTTATCATTACTGCAACAGAGGCTCCATGATCCCATTAATAGCATTACTTATTAATTTCTTTTATTCAACTTTTATTAAATATTTATTTTGGCAATAATTAGCCTCAGAGAGGAGCCATGAAGCCTTTATTAGCTATTAAATAAATTCTTACTCATGAACGTAAATAATTCAGTTTTCAGCTAATGCAAGAAAACATTGATTTCCAATTGTTGTCATAAACCAACAGTAGTCATTGTGTATTGTGTGAAAACAAAGTATTCCATCAATCAATCAATCAACTCTAGCATAGTTGAACGTTAAAACTCTACTCGACATGGTTGAGATGCTATAGATATAATTTTATACATATTTTATATTATATATTGGGCATTGAATAATTATAATAATTAGTTAAGCGATTTACTTTTACGATTAAAATATGTGTAATACTTATTTTTCCAATTTATATATGTAAATATATTTCTTTATACGACTTTAATATATACAATTAAATAATGCCTTATCTTCATTTTAGGAACTCCAAAAGATTATTTCAATGAAATTCGTAAGAGATCTGAATCATTTCCTACATTCAAAGGTGACTTTTTCGTGTATTCCGATATATTCTCTGAAGGACGCCCTGCTTATTGGTCCGGTTATTATACAACTCGTCCATTTTATAAAATAATGAGCGCGGATTTAGAACACAATTTACGAGCTGCTGAAATTTTATTTACAATAGCTTATAACAATGCTTTGAAATTCCACCATGAGAACGCTATTAAAATATTTGAAAAGAATTATGAAAAAATGATAAATGCACGCCGTAATCTTGCTTTGTTTCAACATCACGATGCCATAACTGGAACTTCAAAAGCAGCAGTGATGCGTGACTATGCTATGCGTCTCTTCGAGAGCACACAGGATGTGGTGAAAATGCAAGAATCCACTATTGAATTACTCATACAGAATGGTACATCGCATCATAATTTCTTATTAAGCGAACTGGAACGTGATAATTTTAGTAAATTGCCTAGAAAAACTCCAATACCGCTGGGTATAAATAGCATTGGTAGTGATTTTGTAGATATTAATTTAGGCTTAAATGGTGAAAAAGCAAAATCCACATCATTTGTGATTTATAATTCATTGGCACAGAAACGTTTGGAAGTCATTACGTTACGTACGTTAGTGCCGAATATTAAGGTATATAATGAGCTTGGAGCAGAACTGCGTCATTTACAAATAAATCCTGTCTGGAATATAACTGATCCATATGACTTGGGAATAAATACTGGTAGCAGCAGTGCGGGTCGTATACGAGTCTCCACGCGTCAATACGAAGTAATGTTTGTGGCTCAACTTGATGCATTATCACTTAATACTTATCGAGTTGAAATAGATGAAGTGAATTATAAACATGCAATGGCTACAATTTATTGTGACGAATGCACCGATACAACCACACCACCCAGTGTAACAACTAATGGAGAGTTCACTGTGAAATCTAAACCTGCAGGTAAGATAGAATTTATTAGTTGTTTTCAGATTAATAATTATTACTTCTTTTTTAAGGTGATGTACAATTGGAAAATAATCACATGCGCTTACTTTTTGATGAGAAAACTGGGTTTTTAAAAACTGTTACACGTAAAAATAAGGATCAAAAACTGTTGCAACCCATGCAATGTGCGATTAAATTTGCTGCTTATCGCAGTGCACAATTTCATTCTGGCGCTTATCTCTTCAAAACCGATCCAGAACAAAGCGAACGTGAAAAGGATGTACTTGA